TAGGTTACTGGACTTTAAATTAATTTATACATAATGAATAAATTGTTTGAAATAAATACAGAGATTGAACTCAGCCAAACCCGTAACTCGTACTCTAGCTCCGCCCGGACAACATGGTTTCTGCAATAATAAATACCTTTATTACGTATAAGCTAATTATTCTATAAAGTTATACCAAATTCGATGTGGCATATAACTTTGTATAAGCACGTAAAATGACAAATGGCCATCACAATATTGCATGGTTGATTATATGATCTTATTTGTTCCTGATAGTTTCCACAATATTTTTTCTTTTGAAGAGTCTACAAAACTGCAGCAACGTGGAACCAGATTATAAATCGTAAAAACAAATTTACATTTTAAAAACCTTACATCACATCTGACAAGCAGTCCAATGAATAGATTATTAGAATGCATTCGAAATTCGGCAACACGGTGAGCGAATAGCTCAGGGATTAGAAAGACTGCAGTGATTTTGTCATACAACGTTTTCAGATGAATAATGTGATACCAATCCAACTATGAGTGCTTCTTCAAGCACCATCTTTTAAGTGACATTATTATATTTTTGTTACCAGAAAAAGAATGATGTGAAATGAGTAATGAAAATTATGAGTAATATGTTTTTAGTACTAGAGACACATTTATTGGAAGCTAGAGAAGTTGATTTGAGTTCCTCTAACCAAACATTAAATAAGAACATTCACAAGCCTAGATAATCCTACTGCAACAGCTAACTCTGTCCTGGTAGAAACCTAATCTTCAGATACAATTGCCCTTCCTCAACCTACCCAAGACATCTAAGTCTCAGTATTATGATTGCAGAATCACTACAGTCTACAGAGCATAGATATCATTCAAACAAAACTGCCAAAGATACACAAATACATGTATTTATCTCACATGAGAAGCAAACCTCGATCTATATACTTCTGCTTCGATTTAGAATTGGATCCTTTGGAGAAGGTCTGTTCACGTCCCCATGCATGCTCTCTGCAATATGTAATTTTGAGACTTAGAAATTGTCATGGTTCCAAAAACCAAGTCTACATACACAATGCCAGTGCAGGATTGGAGCATATGATGCAGAAGTTTCAGGGAAAATGAGAACAATAGAGCGATATCTAAGCGAGCAAATGCAAGAATGTCGTTTGTGAACCCTGTTTCATTGATGGAATAGAATCTCTATCAAAAAATAGTCATCATCAGTAATAACTTGCTAAGACAAGGATAATAAGAACTTGTACAAAGGGAGTTTCTTCTCCATCAAACAATTCTCATCAAGAAGAACTTGTACAAATGCGAGCTAACAAGATGGATAAGCATTTAAATTCAATCAGTCACATCCTAATACCACAAGAATAACAGGTGAAACAAATGAGTGTCTTTAGCAAATATCGCACGTCATACCAAACACGGGATATCAATTTTTACAAGGCACTATCGATCAGAGATGACAGCCATAACTACAATTCTGATCACTCCTTGCAATCATTATCGACCATTATGGGAGAACAGAAATAAGTACAAGTATCTGATGAATGCTTGCAGGCTGCAGCCTTCATCAAATCATTATGCTAGGACAGAAGAAAGTAAAGGCTGAGATTAGATGGTAAGAAATAGACTAAAAGCTCAGTCAGTCACTGAGAAATCCACATCATTGCACATAATGTTGAGTCTTAGGATTTTCAAGTTGATGCTAGATGCTAATTGAGTTGAATTCTGGGTGAGTGACTTGCATTATACACAATGTTGATGAAGGTGTTAAAGGGGACAAGGTACATCTAAGGTACATGGAGGAATGGAACACAATGGAAGTAGAGAGTTCACATAGGTGATACCAAACTAACATTTACATTGTGTCCAGATGATTGCCTTGAGTCATTTTAGGTGGTTAGAAATTTGTATCTCAGTGTAGGAATAAGCCTAAGATTTAGATAAATCACTAGTTTTAGATAACACTAATATATTATAAAACACACATTATTAAGTATCATGGTCAGACTAACCTGAACAGCGGGGAATGGATATAAAAGATTCATACAGCCAACCCCAAGTAGTAGTAGTAGTTTCCCCAAAGACAACTTTCTTATAGCCTGTTTGGCCAAGCTTCTTTTTAGCCAAAAGTGCTTTTTTGGGGCCAAAAGCACTTTTGGCCAAAAATTGAGGTGTTTGGCCAAGCTTTTGGAAGGAAAAAAAGTGCTTTCAAGCAGTTTTGGAGAAGCAGAAAAAAGTAGCTTCCTCCAAAAACACTTTTTTGAGAAGCACTTTTGAGAAAAATACACTTAGAAGCAGTTTTTTAAAGCTTGGTCAAACACTAATTGCTGCTCAGAAGTGCTTGTCAAACTAATTAGTCAAACACAAACTGCTTCTCACCAAAAGTACTTTTGAGAAAGGCACTTCTCAAAATAAGCTGATTTTTACAGCTGGGCCAAACGGGCTATTATAATAGCTTCTTTTTTAAATCAAGTTCTTCATGATAGCTTATTGAGTTGCATGCAATGGTACTCCTAGCAATTTCTGGACAGGATTCACAAAGAGTAAAGAGATCAAGGAACCCTATTTAGACCAAACCATCGATTTTCCAAAGAAATTTTCAAGTTTTAAATTAATTGCCCTTCCAGCAACATACTGCTAGTATATCTGTGTACCAATAGAAGCACAACTTTTCCAATATGACTAATTTCATTCACTTCCTCTCAGATGTCTAAGAAGACGGTTATTAGAAGCATATTTAAGGCAGTGTTTCTAAAAGCAAAAAGCGACAAGGTCCATGAGGCTTGAATCGTAAAGCAGAAGTAACGGGTGAGCTTTTTTGAAGAGAAGCACATAATTTATTGATAATTAAAAACTACCAAACATATATGAATTTAGCAGTGGTCGACGCACATCGTGGCAAGCGGGTTCAACTAACCGCTTTATCAAAAAATAATACTCCGTGTATATGTATAAATTACGATTAAAACTGTGTAAATTTTGTATAAATATTTTATTTGAACCCACTTGACAACTACTATTTTACGACTAAGGTGATGTACTTCTAAGTTTGAACGCGCTTGCACAAAATTCCGGGTCCGCCTCTGGTATTTAGTACTATTAAAATCAAATTACAATTGAAAAACTAATTTCAGAATTCAATACACGATGATGCACATCAGTCTAATTCCTCAAAGTCAGTTTCAAAGAACCGACATTTTCTCATTCGGATCAATGTGCCGATGTGTGCATCATTTTTTGAAGCGCACATTTCTTTGAAACGCATGATTTCAACTATGAAGCGATGATTCCTAGCTAGCAGTGCTTCATTGCCTTTAGCAACGAACCAAAGGCTTTTAACAACACTGATTTAACGAATACTGAAGTTCTAGAAGTTAGGACATAAAGTGGGATTATGTATCGCATCTTTCAGCCTTCATAAGCAGGACGAACACACTTTATATCCTAAATAAGATAACTCAAGTAGTAATTAGTAAGAATCTCAAATTGTCTACTAATCTAACAGAAATGCAAACTATGAACTAGGAAAAGGAAAATGAGAGTAGCAAATATATCTGACACCAGCATCACAGCTAAGTCTTGGTCTCCGTAACAAGCAAATTAGTCATTGTAAGTCAGTCATAAACATTCATNCAAATAAAAAAAGTTAAAAAGGAAAAACATTACCGAGAAGAAACAGCAAAAGCAGGAAAGCTTACCTCCTAGATAGGTAGTAACTCTCCAGAAAGTCCAGTACTTGATTTGCAAATGCTGAAACCAATCTTCTCAATGAAGCCTCCAAAGCCACTGCCATTTTACCATTCTCCGAATGGTTTAAAGACCAGATTTCGACGACTTAATCGCCACTAAAAAGTCTTGCATTTTTTAGCAGAGAGAAAAGTAAAACCCCCTTTTTCAAAAATATATTAGTAAATCGAAGGCTATTCTTCGATTCTGCTGGGGTCATCCTCTCTTTGACTAATTTTATGGACAAAAATACACACGAATTCCTTCAATTTTTGGAATGGTAATTTTGGTAGGTAATATTATTTTAAACCCCTTGTAATACGACTCAACTGATAATAGATACACATATTTTTAAAATCAAATATTTATAGAAATATGCAACAACAACAATATCAACAAACATTATAATTTCACAAGTGGAATCTGGGAAGGGTACCTGCCCTTATCCCTAGAGGTAGAGAGCTTGTTTGATTAAAGAAGATGAATAACAATAGAATAGTAACCACAACAGAGACCAGAAATATAGTACCAGCAACCTAAAAATCCAAAAAATAGATAAAAAAAATAAAGTAATATCGATAACCAATAGCAATGGCCAAATAAATACTAAACAAATATGAAAGTGTTATTTTTATTTTTCAAAATCAAACAGACTTAAACCCCCAGGATTTATTTTACAATTATCTTATTCCAAAATGCAAGAAAGTTATCACTAGTAAGTGAAACCTTATTAAATAAGTTGTGGCCATTTTCTATAAGAGTTCTGAAAGATACAAATTTTCAAAAAAAAAAAAAAATACTATACACTTGTTTAATCAAATGAGTGAACAAAATTTTCAACACAAATATTGTTTCTCTTTTTACAATTTCAGAAAATAAAATAAATATGACTTTTTCTAATCCATTTTAATGATCACAATTCCAATGTTGTCAAGGTTTATTCGGTTTGAGTTTAAGTTATTATACACCATACATGTCACCGTACAAAAGAATATTTACATGTCTTCTAAAATTTATTATCTTCATATAAGATAAACTTGATGTCTAAAAGGAAATTATATATCCTATTCCTACACCATGTATTATAATACAAGTCATTCTCATTGAGTCTAATCATGAGATCATGGGGGGCCCACATCCACTTCAAGCGAGAGACATGCACTATCATTTTATTGGTAGCAAAAGCCAAAAGACACCATCTATAGTAGAATTTACTTCTACTCAATTACTAAAAGCTTTTATTATGCTTCTATCACCTTCAAAATCAAGCAAATTCCAGAGGTCCACAACTCCACTATGGTAGAAGAAAAGGGATACACCATTAACATCTTCACCAACAAAATAATCAACTCAATATACTCTCCCTCTATAAGAATCTCCCTGTTGTACTCTTTCAACTTACTAAACTTTCTACTTTACAAAATGGCTTCTTTCCGTAGTTACACTCTCTCTATTTCCTACTTCCTAATTTTCTCAATCCTCTTTACCCCTTTATATGGAGCGTTTGTTGAGGAATTTTCTGACACCCTAACCATAAAACGAAGTGAGAAAACGAGCCATCTCCATTTCTACTTCCATGACATTGTCAGTGGAAAAAATCCTTCATCAATCAAAGTCATTTCACCAGGAGGAGATGGAATCTACGGTTTTGGCAAAACTTTCATTTTTGATGATGCATTAACAGTAGGGCCTAATGCATCATCTAAGGTTATAGGAAGAGCACAGGGGATTTACTCTATCGCTTCCCAGAGTGAGCTTGCCTTGCTTATGGCTTTGACCTTTGAGTTCACTGAAGGCAAGTATAATGGCAGCAGCATAAGTATTCTTGGGAGAAATCCAGTTCCCAAAGATGTTAGAGAGATGCCTATTGTGGGTGGCACTGCACTGTTTAGGTTTGCTAGAGGTTATGCATTGGCCCATACTTCTATGTTTGATATCAAGAGTGGAGATGCTATTGTAGAATACAATGTGTTTGTTCAACACTTTTGAAGTAATTTAAGCGTATAAAGTAGCAGTCCCAGGCGCAATTAGTATTTTTTTTTTTTTTTAATTATTCCATCCATGGCAAGCTATTAATGTCTTTTTAACTTTTCTGGATGTTCTAAATTATTGTCTTCTTTTAATCGAAAAATTCTATTCGTAAATTTACAAGATTATGTGTCATTTGTTGAGTTAATCTTCTCCCTATCTCTTTCAATGAATCTTCTCCCTATCTCTTTCAATGAATCTTCTCCTTTCCCTAATAATTATAAACCAATTTTTTAAAAGAACATTCTATATGTTCCTTCTCTTTATCCGGTTTGTGTTGCGCAGCTAGTGGTCCAACCCTTGGGCTATCCAATTCTTTCGAAGAAAATTGAATGTTGCGGAAAAATGGTCCAACAGAAAAGTTCAAGCTGCCTACTTTTGGTACCCACACAAACAGCCATTCCCCTGAAAAAAACCAAAGAGCTTGTCGAAAGAAGAGAAGGTTAAGACAGAAACAGTGGATATTCAGAATGGATACAGTTTATTTACATTTACAACATTTAGTTCTTTTACTTCTATACATACTAGATGGTTGGTGCCCGCGCCCAACATCGCAGTTTATGTTATTTGCGGTACAAAATTACTAAAAGGTTAGTTGCACAACTACAAGGTTACCAAAAGTGAAGAAGATAATTCCATACTTGTGTCAATTGTTTAGCACTTTAGCAAGATTACTGAAAGGAATTAATACTATAATTCTAATTAAATATTAAGATATTACAACTTCATATGCTGTACAAGACATAAAATTTGTATTTGCAACTCAGTACAGTCTTCAGCTGCTTCCGTTAAGAGTACTCCATTTACATGTTGACAAAATGTGATGCATTCTTCATGATGTGATTGGTCTTCTTCTTTCTCTGAGAAGAATATTGGTAGCTCAAGAATGAAAAAGAAACTATCAAATGTCAATAGCCATAAAGCATAAGGTACCAATTTATACTACAAGCAAATAATGAGAAAAAGGAGAGGAGAAGAAAACGAAGAATATCAATGCTTCCAATTCTTTTAAAGGATAGGTCTCATTCTAGAAATGGTGCCAGTAGAAAAATATTATCATAGGTTAACCACAGAAATTGTGTCTCTAGGTTCATCTAATAATGTTTACGGTGGAACCAACCAAAAGGCTTCCCTTGATATGTCCCATTTGACACAGGTAAAGTCCCTCATGGTTGAGAGTGAATCTTTTTTCCCCAAAGAACCAAGTCCACTAATGGGTCACGGATAGATATCTTGTTCAGAGAGTTTTCTCTACTACCCCAGAAGGTGCTGATGGCTGAAGCTACATCTATATAAATGCATTTTACGAATGGAATAAACAATACCTATCTAAACCTAGACTTAACACCTACTTCTATATACCTACTTCTAAACTAAAGAACTGTAGAAGAAACTCATACACTTACCTGTCAAAGAAGCACTGCTCACACCTGCAAGACATACACATTATCTTATGAGCACAATATCATCCGATAGGCACACATGTCCAAATATTCCTCTTCTTTATAATGGTATAAAGTACAGAAGTCCAAATATTGATGCAAAAGTATCTCCAATGGTTAGTGGTATGATGAAAAACTACAGATTAAAGATAGTGAATCACTATAGAACTACTCTACACTTGTTGGTGCTTCTCTAGTAGCCTCCTATATATAGGCAACTTTTCATTTTAAACACAAAGGAAACAATCATGAACATCATAATAGCTGCTCATGAATTCACCGAATTCTACTATATTGAGTACTACTACTTCACCAAATTCCAATACTTGCAACAATTGACAAATTTTGGAAGATTTTTAAGTAGATTCTTCATAACTTAGAGCAATTATATCTAAAGAGTAGGCTTAATAACCAAAAACTAAACATAAATCATTTGGGTTCAAGGAGCTAATTGATACAGAGGATGACACTAAGCCTCATCTATCACTCTTTAATTGTAATGTTCTATCTAAATAGAATTCAAATATGACAGACTTAAGAGAAAGTCTCGGACAACAGAAAGGAGGTTAAACCATGTGCTGAGTTATAAAATGTGCTAGAGTCTAATGGCACAAAAAATTAAAAAATATATGGTTTTACCTTTAAAATGTGTCTTGTCCTTGGATTTTCAAGAAAAGCTCTATCAACCTGGAAAAAAAAAACAGGAAGAAGTAATGACCCATATCTGACTCAAGACCCTTCGATCCACTACAAAATGACCATAGGTTTTTCTCTATTACTCCTTTATAACACAAGTGAAAGACTAAAATTTTATTCCTTCAAGCAGCAAGTGCAAAGAAGAGAGAGCAGACCTCAAGGAAAAGGAACAAATCTAGAACAATAGCATAATCCTGGCTCCAGAAACAAGCATTCTAAATGTTTTTACATAACCAGGTTGGTACCAGAAGCAGCGCTTTTTATGAAAAGACTTGTATGTATCACTCATCATAGATAAAGCTTTAAACTTAAAGCATGAAGAACCCAATGCCTACTGAAATTTAACAATGTCAAAAGTTCTTATGAATCTAATAGCCCATTTGGCCAAGCTTCTAAAATCAACTTATTTTGAGAAGTGCTTTTCTCAAAAGCACTTTTTTTAAAAGTGTTTTTGGTGAGAAGTAGTTTGTGTTTGGCTAATTAATTAGAAAAACACTTTTGAGCAGTAATTAGTGTTTGGCCAAGCTTTTGAAAACTGCTTCTAAGTGTATTTTTCTCAAAAGTGCTTCTCAGAAAAGTGCTTTGGGAGAGAAGCTACTTTTTTCTGCTTCTCCTCAAAAGCACTTTTTTTCCTTCCAAAAGCTTGGCCAAATACCTCAATTTTTTGCCAAAAGTGCTTTTGGCCAAAAAAAAACACTTTTGGCCCAAAAAAAAGCTTGGCCAAACAGGCTATAAATCCTAGATATGAAACTGAAATTGACACAACACAGAACTTCAAGAAACAGAAAAGATAAATTAATTATATATCACATCTTACTTTGATCAAGCATTCAAATTTAGCAAACTTTGACAAAATATTAACTCCAGGATCTAAAATAAAATACCTTTTCCAAAGAATAAAATAATTAAAATAAATTAAGAAACACACATCAGCAAAAATAATATAGCATATTGAGACTTACTGAATAGCCAATATAGTTAGTAGTCAAGACGCTGAAACTATTGGTGGCCAATTCATCGGGAATGTCAAGCTACAACATATGTGATAAATCACAACATGCATATCCAAGATGGAGCGATAAAATAATGAAATTAAAGAGCTTCTCTAAATCACAACATGCTTGTCCAAGATGGAGCGACTAAATAATGATATTAAAGAGTTTCTCCAGAGACACTGTAATCAAGTATGCAAATAATCCATATCGTAAATGTAAAACAAATAAGAACTAAACAATGAGATATGAATAAAAATTGAGTAGAAGAAAAGGAGATAAGAAAAAAGAATTGGCTAAAAACTACTCAAAAGTTCAAGATATCCAAAACTTTATTGTAAAATAGGAAATAAATACATGCATTGCTGAGAAAACGGAGGAAAACGCAAAGACACCATTACCACACAAAATATAAGCTAGAAGTATCTTGCATTGGACCTAAACATATAACATTACAGATCAGAAGTTGCGAAATTACCTTGTGTAGTCGTACTGTCTTCTCTTTTCCCCTACGAGCAGATTTCACTATCAAGAACCTGTAATATCACAATTGCATAACCATTATATTTCGGCTGAATAGAGGAGAGATATACAGTAATTCGCCTGTGAAAATATTTTTGTAAAGGCAGTTATCAAGTACATTTTGATGAAGCACCTAAAACAGAAAATTTATTTTGCAGTAATAACATTTTATTACCTTAAGACCAGTAGCCTCATGCATGTATAATTAATATTTAATAATCCTTAAATCTCTAAATTATTTAGTTAGCGGTGAAGAGTCAATTTCAAGCACCAGTATTTTTAACTAATAGATGTGGAAAGTAAATTAGTGGAATGAAATCTGAGGGCAACTCAAGTCACCCAAACACAACAAAAATTAGAATCAATATTCTCCAAAAAAATATCAATATTTGAAGTCTAATGCATCAGAGAAGCATTTTTTTGCTGAAGATGGGTTTTTGTAAAGAAACATATTTCTCCATTCTTAGAATTTGAACCAAGGAGGTAAGATTCTACTTGACTACCTTCGACTCTGGTTTAATTATATAAAAGATCATCAAACTTATAGTTTAATAGCAGGAAAATTATCAAACTAACTTTTTGATAAGGTATCAAACTAACTTTTCTGATATATGATTAATACTCCTATTTACATTAATTATTTGTCACTGCCAAGATAGTATAATATACCAAAACAAAAAAAGAAAGTATTAAGATGAAGGTGATCTTTACCCAAAATAATATTGTCCAAAAAAGAGTACTACTTAAATACTAATCCTACTTAATAAGAGATCGCAAAAAAAATGCTCAGATCGATTTTGACCCATATTTTCCTCTGGATCAACCCACAAAAATTCATCTAAAAAAATGAAAATAGCGGAAAACTATTCACTGTAGCAGAAATCTCAATCAGAAACAGTAAGGATAATACAATTTTCAGCAAAAAAAGAAATCTAGTTGAAGAATAATCAGACGATCTAAGTAAAATTAGTCGATAGTGAGGGGAAAAACCATGGACAAAAAAATTCGATAAAATTATTGACATGCATGTAGACAATCACCAAAAATATCCAAAAGTTCAAGATGTCCTAAATTTTATTCCGAAACAGGAGACAGAAATATAAAATTTGCAACTGCTAATCACTACTATAAATTAACTTTCACTATTCATCTCAAGACATAGGTAACAACTCAATCAAAATCAGAGAAGACCAAACCCTAAAATTAGACACTGAAAAACAAAACGTAGAAAGTAGAAAGAAATCAAAAAAAAAAAAAAAAAAAAGAGGAAGACCAACAGGAACCCAACAGAAATAGAAACAAAGACCTGGGGATTTTTTTTTTTAGAGGAATCGGCCTATTGTTCCTGAAAAATTAAAGCATAAAAGAAAGAAAGAGGAGGAAAAAGAACCCAGCCAAAATTTAAGCAAAGAAACAAAAGTATATAAGAAGACATTAGGAGAAAATTTGAGGGGAGAGCCGTACCTTTTTCAGAGAAGAAGATGAAGTGCTTAGAACCTTGGACAATATTAAAAACGGTGTTCATCTTAGAAGACCCAAAAGCAAAAACGATAAAATTAAAGAGAAATCAAGCTACTAAAACAAAAAACAGAGCCAAAAAAAATAAGAAAAAGAAGGAAGAAGAAAAACTCACCAGTAAGAAAGACATTGAGGCGGATGGAAGGAGAGATGGCAACTGAATATTTTGCTTTCATGGACAGAAAAAGGCAAAAGGGGGAAAACCCCCGGTCCGGAACTAAGTTTGATTCTTTTGGACTCAAAATACATAAATAGGTGATAAAAAAAGGTGACAATTTTATATATAGTGCTACAATATTTGGCGCTATACATTAACGTTAATTGTGTCGTATGTATCGCGCCAAGTATTGTGGCACTATACTGAAAAAGCTTACACGCCCAGGTATAACGCCAAAATACCTGGCGTTATACATAAATTTTTATATATAGCGCCTGGTATTTTGGCGTTATGCTCCTTTTTCCTGGCCCCACCAATAATTCCTGACCTCAATGATTCAAATGCGTATAGTGTCAACTTTTTGGGCGCTATATATATAAAAAAAAAATTCCGGCTAGTCATTCCCTATATAAAGAGCTTAGGATTGTATAGAAATTCATTCAAAAAAAATTTTAACTCTTGTTGAAATGTTTATTGTTGTTAAATTCTCCAATATTTTTTTATTATGTCTGAAGAGCGTAGAATAAGAGTTTCATTATATAGGGGGGTAAGGTTGTGATGGAGAATAACTCTGTGGGCTACAGTTTACCTGCTCAGTGTCATGTTAAATTGCCACTTATAATGGAGTATGATAAATTAATATCGTCGTTATGCAAAAAAATGAGTGTGAGGAAACGTTCAGTGATACTTAAAGTAACCGGAAGATATTTGTATTCCGTCACTCCGTAGGGGGTTGCTTTTTACTCGGAGTTTAACATCGACGATGATGAAACTTTGAGTGATTTTCTGAGGACTCCGGACGAATGCCGGAAATCTCTTGTAATCACAATGTTGGAGATGTACGTGAAGGTCGAAGACGTTCCAAAAAACGAGGTTGTGCGTAGTAGAGATAATCCCCAGTCATCGGGTGGTTATTTTGGAGCAGTTTTTGCCGGACAGGTTCCGGACGAAAGAGTTTTCCTTGATTTAAACTTATCACCGCCGGCGAATGAGCAGCAAGAAAATAATTTATACCCTACTTTCCATAATTCACAAGACGAGTGGTAAACTTCAATTTTCATTTGTGTTAATTATGTATATTTTTGGCGTATTGAATTTGTATTAACGCTCATATATTTAATAGGTGGTACCGGCCGAATATGAATTTTACAAGTGGCTCATCCGGTAGTCATCACCTAATTGAAAACGTCCATCATGGAATTTCATCACATTACGACTTGTAAGTGAAGTGATATAGTCATATGGAAAGCATTTAATAATTCAGTAGCTTATATTTTGTTGGTTGTGCAGTGAAAACGAGCAAGTTGAACCACCCGTACTCACTCAATTGACCGAAAACGACGTATTACATCGGGATCTGGCAGATGCACAGAGTGAGAAACAGAACAGTGATTACGATAACAATGATGATGAATCCGGAAACGAGACACCCTTTCCTCGTGAGGATGGTGATGAGCAGAATGAGGAGGAAGGACCTAATTTGAAGAGAGACCCCCCTAGATGAAGAGTGTACGAGTCCGAAGTGCCCTTTCATTTAAGGGAGATTCCTTACATTGATAACTTGTCAACCGTGCCGGATATGGAAGCTCTCACAAGGGATTTTGATGAAATCCGGACAGCAATGTGGGATGAGTCTAGACCAACGGTGCTTGCAAAGGGGTTGCTTTTTCCTGATAAAGCGCGCTTAAGCAGGGCTTGTAAAATGCACAACGTAAAAGAGTGTTGTGAGATGTAGGTACGGGAGTCAAGTCCGATGGTATACAAGGCTGTTTGCCGCAGGTGGTTTTGGCCATGTAATTGGATGTTGCGTGCGACCAAGAAGAAGACATGTATGTGGAAAGTGGGTAAATACATTCCCACCCACACATGCGAAATGGACACATTCAACGGGAACCACTTCAACTTGGATATTGACTTGATTTTTCTTGTACTTATTCTGCACCTCGAAGCGTCCATAAGGTATACAATCAAAGAGTGCATTACATCAGTCCACCAGGAATATGGCCATACCATTACGAAAAGAAAGGCATTCCTCGGGCGCAAACGAGCGTTTGAAATTGTCTACGGTAATTGGGATAAGTCATTTATATCTCTGCCAAAGTACATGGCCGCACTGCAACACTTTAACCCCGGGACAGTTGTTGAATGGAAGCTTGAGCAGAGTTCGGGAACACTAGTATACATATTCAATTACGTGTTCTGGGTGTTTAAGCCAGCAATTGATGGTTTTTAGCATTGTCGGCCCGTAATATCCATAGACGGAACTCATGTCTATGGAAAGTACGATATCGAGCTATTGATAGCCGTGGCAGTGGATGCTAATGGACAGATATTTCCTCTAGCTTTTGTTGTTTGTGCCAATAAAATCACAGAGACGTGGACGTTATTTTTGAACCACCTGAAAGAGCACGTTGTCAAACAGCGTTCAGATATTTGTCTAATATCTGATCGGCACGGTGGTATATTAAGTTCTGTTGAGAACTTGCCTGCATCGCAAGAACCTTATACATATCACAGTTACTGTGTGAGGCACTTGAAGGCCAATTTCCAGAAGGCACATCCCAACAAAGATCTACATGATTTGATGTGGATGGCAGCAACAGACCACCAATAGCATAAATTCCAGAGGCATATGGATTCTATCAGGCAATAAGACGAGGCAACCTATCGTTGGTTAATACGACATGACCCTGAAAAATGGACGTTGCATGCGGATGGTGGCAGGCGATGGGGAATTCTTACTACAAACGTGTCAGAGTCCTTCAACGGGTTATTAAAGTCGGCAAGAGGATTGCCCGTCACAGCCATGGTGCGGATGTCGTTCAAGTAGATGGCAGAGAGGTTTGTTGAACGGTCTGCAGCTGCAATGAAATTGACGGAGAGGGGTGTTGAATTTATGTCAGTGCCTATGAAGAGATTTGAGAAATACAGACGGCGAACACATTGGCATTTATTTTTGCAGTATGATAACGAAAGAGGTGTTTTTGAAGTTCGCACCGCTATCCATAACAATCGGGGTAATAATGTACATACTGTAAATGAATCTGCAAGGTTATGCTTCTGTGGGAAATGGTCCATCTACCACACGCCTTGCTCACATGCCATCAAGTGTTTTCAACGTGTTGGTTATGCGGAGACCAACTATGTTGA